TCCCCTACATTCTACCACACATGCTTCAATTTCCCAGATTGTAAAAGATGTGGATGACGTCACTGTCAATTAGAATAACACAGGTTCAGGAGGCTGTGGAAAACATGAGTGATAATAAAAAATGATCTCCCACTTTTGTACAGTGTTTCTAGTTGAAACAGTGTTTTCAACCAATGATCTGATGATATTCTCACCACAACTCTGTGAGGTAGTTAGTGAAGATATTCCCATTTTATAGCTGAGAAACCTTGAGCTTGACAGACCAAGTGGCTTGCCCAAAGTCACACAGCTAAGCAAGCACGGAGCCAAGCATCCAGGATTCTTGACTCCAACTCCAGTGCTCTTCCCCCTATGTAGTCTATAATTGGCAGGCAATTGAATGCATTGCCCAAGATCAGATACCTGCTAAGTGTTGATGATGGGATTAGAATTCAGTCTTCAAATCAGTTAGTATGGTGCCCATTCACCATACCAACTTGCTGAGCCAATGTGCTCCAAATGACCACCATGATAGAGATCCGAGAAAAGTCTTGTGGTTGACTTTTCTTTGTGTATTCAGCCCTCTCCTACAATCAATACTATATCCCAAACTTCAATAAACTACTGTTTCTAGAACAGTACCCAGGGTCGGGTTACACATTTAAAACTTGCACTTCCCACTCCACCTACCCAGGCATTATTCAATCATTCCTGTTGTGGGCAAATGGGGAACAGAAAAGCTGAGCAGAGCTAGCTGTGCTGTGAAGCACATTTCAACATTTCATTTCTATCCTCCTTCCTCTCTCTCCTCTCTCTCCCACTGAATCTTAAAGTCAAATGCCATCAGATTCAGTGCTGGGGAGGGAGACAATAAGGGTACCTCTGAGGTTAGGGGTGATTTTCCCTGGCCGTTTGTTTCAGGAGGATGCATCACGTGACTTTCGCCCAGAGGGCTCAGACTGACGTTTCCAGACACTCCCACACCCTTTTCCTTGTGTGTGTCTGCATCCTTGGGCTTTGGCAATGAGTGGGGGTGCCTACACAGGATGTTTGAGGAAGAAGTGAAAAGGACAGCATAGTGCAATGCAGAGCTGGGACATTTCATCAGCTCTCTGCTCTTTAGAATAAAAATAGCTGTTATTGCATCATTTCTAGAAGAGGGGAAAGAAATTTTAGAATCAAAACTTAACACCTGACTCCAGAACAGTTCTACTGAGTACATGGGACAGACCTTAGAACCTCAGCGTTCACATCTTCCTGCCTCATACCCGTTTCCACTGATGCTCTGAAGCACTGAGCCCAAGAGAACACTTACTTTGCCAACAAGCATTCGATCTACCTGCCAAGATGCTATCGCACTTGGAAAATCAGATCCATCTAGAATTCTTGAAGTGCTTACTCAGGGGAGGGTGAGGTATACCACATCCAGGAAAAAGAAAATTCCTGTCAAGTCTTTTGTCTGTCCCAAAGCACTGTCCCAAACTTAACTCAGGCTGACACCTAACAGAGGGCTTCAGTCAGAGCATCAGAAACTCTCTTATGGCGGTTATTCGGAGCACACTGGTTTTCCTACGTGGGACCCTGCTAAGGGCCACGTTTCCACTGGGAAGAGAAGCAGCTGTTCTCATGATCTGGTGTGCCAGTCTTCCCTTAGGGAATTGGTTTGAGGAGTACAGGCACTGGGATGATTTCTGAGCTTTTACAATGAAGATGGACTCATGCTGTAAAATGAATGGTGTGCTACAAGACACGAGGTGACAAGTGCCCTCCAGATCCCAGTTGGGACCTGCAGTGACTTTGAGAAGGGAAGAGGTGTGGGGCTGAGAGAGAGAGTCTCCCTTCAATCAGTGGTCCAGATGTAGCCAAATACTGCATCCCAGTATTTGGTGATCTTTATGTAGAGTGTTATTTACATACAATGTACTCTGCGGAGATGGAAGGGAGGAGCTACGTCACATGGCTGAGAATGAAATGTTCGTACTTAAGGAAAATGGAAAGACTTGGTGTTGGAACAGTTAAATGATTGCTAGAGTTCTAATATTTACGTCTTAAGAGCCTTCTTCCACACAGTGGTGACATGAAGTGGTTGGTGACATAAACTGCAGACTCCAGGGAGTCATCTCACACTTCCCCTGAGCCTGCAGCAGCTCTGCAAAGGGCAAGGGCAACAGGGCTGGGAGAGAGCATCTCCCTTCATTCAGTTGTCCAGATGCAGTCAAATACCTGCATGGATATCTGACCACACACACACACACACACACACACACACACACACACACACGTATTTACATTATTCCCCCACCCACCCACCCAAAGATGGAAATAAGGGACTTCATCAGACTTCATCATGCTTAAAAGGATCAAAGGGTTTCCACACTACACACTTGAGGCAGATGGGGAGACATGGTACTAGACTAATCACAATCTCCTAAAGGCCACCTTCCATGTAGGTGCCCAAAAGTCCATGTGGGTGATTGTACACTCCAAGTAGACAGGACAACTCTGAAAGGGGCCGTGGGTAAGATCTCCTGCCAATCACTCAGCCAGATGATGCCAAGCATCTCAACAACAACAACAACAACAACAACAACAAAAACTTATACAGAGCCTAGAAGCTAAAGTTCTCGCCTTGCATGTGCCTGGATCCCATATGGGTGCCAGTTCTAATCCCAGCATCCCCCCCTTCCAAATCCAGCTCCCTGCTTGTGGCCTGGGAAAGCAGCTGAGGATAGCCCAAAGCCTTGGGACCCTGCACCCATGTGGAAAACCCCCAAAGAGGCTCTGTGCTTTTGGCTTCAGACTGGTTCAACTCCAGCCATTGCAGTCACTTGGGGAGTGAACAATTGGACAGAGGATCTTCCTCTCTGTCTCTCTTCTTCTCTATATCTCTGACTTTCCAATAAAAATAAAATGAATCTTTAAAAAAAAAAACATATACATATAAAACATCTACATGCCTCCTTGGAATGGACAAGAGGTGACACCTCATGCCCACAATCGGGAAAGGTTCCACTTATACACGCTGGGTTGATGTGGAGCTGAACTCCTGGCCCAATCAGAGGAAGGACAGACTCCCCCAAATCTATGCTTCTCTCATAAAAGCTATCTTGAGTGAGAAAATACTCATGGAAATGTTACTGCTCAAACTACTTTAAAAACACAATCATAATAACAATCAGTAATACACATTGATTTCATAGACTCTATTTTATGTGACCCAACTATTTTAAAAGCTAAAAAAAGTGCTATATTTTTAATAATGTTCCATGATCTTACTTTAATATTTTCAACAATCACATGTACAGAAGAAACAGGTAGGATTATTTCTGATTTATCCCTCCCCCACTATTTTCTGCAAGGGTTTATCAACAGCTAGTCTAGACCCTGATCCACAGCTCTGTGGGCTCTAGCAAATACTCTGTAGGGTCCAAAGTTTTCTAGGAGGAAGACAACAAAGAGAGTGAATGAGAAAGGAAAGAAAAAAGGCTTGGAGAAGCAGGGTGGGGACTTTGCAATTAAGTAGGGGTACAACAAATTAACACACACACACACAGAAGAAACACAAAGGAGAAACAACATGGGAAAAAGAATACATGTATGCCTCCCAAAATAAATTGTACACATTTTACCCAGTGGTGTGCTGATGAATATTTATCAAGTAGCAATCTAGAGGGGGAAAAAGCCCCAATTTCTTACATACTATAACGTATCTATTGCTAATCTTCCACTATTGTCAACTCCAAGCTCCTAACAGGAAGTTAGGGAAGAAAGAATTGGGGCTGATGCACAGTAGCACACCATTGGGGAACACTTCCATCACATGGATAGCACAGATGTAAATATTTTTCAGTACAGAAAATATGACATTTTTGGAGCATGTATTACTTGTGCCTTTAATCATTTATTTAATTGTAAGTGCATTTAATTTAATTTTTAATAAGGGTGGTGCTGCACAGCCAGTTTGCAAAATTGTTGAAAAGGTAACAATTGGCAAACCTGTACAAGTCAGCAAACACATGGTGAGAGAGACACTGCAAACCATCAACTCTACTGACCACAACTTTTAAGTAGATAGGAAGATGTAGCAGTAAATTGATTATAAAGAATTTTTTTAGGGTTCCAAAAATGTCAGGAAATTCTTACTATCTTCTCCAAAGCAAAAACAAAATGCAAAGAAAATGTCTGAAAGGACTTCACAGAGATGTGTATACTTAGAATCAAGGTTAAGTGTCCAGTTTGATAAGCGTTATCCTAGAGAGACTCCTTGTGCTTTCCTCATTAAATAGGATAACATATTCATGATTTCCCCATTAGCTTGTTTTACTGCTACCAAATAATCCAGGAATGTTTACTTAGCTACTGAACCAACTGTGGATTGGCCTATCCTATTTCCTGGGCCGGCTGTCTTATTAGCTCCCTATTTCACTAACACACAGGATGCCACCTTTTACAAGCCTCAAAATGATCAAAGAAAGGAGAAGAGAGAGTATGAGCCAGGAGGAAGGGAGCAGGGGGTTGGGAGGAAGAGGTGACACAGGCAGTGTCAAGGGTAATACTGACAACAGCCCCAGCCCCGAGTGATCACAGATAGCTGAATGGGAGCCATATGCTGTGGTCATGTTTCCTTATTTCCCATTTTGTACTGCTACACTCCTGCATCAAAGGATTCATGGAGGAATGGACACTAAGCTGGGTGGTTAAGAAACCCACGTCCCATGTTCAGAACACTTCTCAGCTCCCGACCCTGACTCCAACCTCCTGTCAGTGTAGATTCCACCAGGCAGCAGTCATGGCTCAGGTACTGGGTTCCTGTAACCATGTGGATAAACCATGTGGTTTATGTTCCTGGCTCCAGGTTCCAACCCCAGCCCAGCCACAACTGCTGCAGACAACTGGGGAGTGAACAGGTGGACAGCAACTCTCTGTGTTTCATTTTGTCTCTGCCTCTTAAAACATTTTTTTAAAAAGACTTATGCACAATATAATACTTAGTTGTACTTTCATGGCCTTTGTCCTTGGGATAACAAATATCTAGGTAAGTGATAATCCACATTTTCCAGATGTTTGTAAATGTCTGGATGGATCGTGGCAGGTGGACAAATATCTGAATAACTTCATTCATGCTCACATTTCATCTTGTGACACTACAAAGTAATAAACATCTCTAAAAAATGTGCCAAGTCAATGCAATCACATGTATCAAGCAATTTTGATTAAAGTGTGATTATTACTTTCTTTCTAAGGAATGTACTGTTTTAAAACTCTTCCTCTTCTAAAATGTAAAAATTTTTTATTCAGATCCAGAATGTCCAGAATACTTGAAAGTGGCTTTATAAATAGGGAGCCACTAACATCAAGAGCAAGATCCAATTTACACTGAACAGCCAAGTCGAAGCAAGTGTGCTCATTTACGCTGCTACCTGTCCAGTACGGTGACAGATATTTTAGACTTAGTTGCTGATGCTATGTTGAAGTGTCAGAACACCATCTGGCTTCCCAAAGGTGACGCCACTGATCTTCAGGCAGTGGGGGTGTGTGCAATGGGTGATTTTTTTCTGGAACTGAGGGAGAATTTGTGCTCACTTGGTCACATTTTCTCACCCAAAGATTGGCAATACTAACTTCTCATGTGGCCAGCAGAACACCTCTGATGCATTGAGCCTAACTCGAAGCTGTGCATGTAAACAGAGATAGGCCTCTACTAAGACACAGTTATGAACACATACTATAAACAAAATTCCTTCCAGTGATTTTCTTTTTAAAGTTCATGTTAAGAGGGCAAGAAACCCAATATGAAAGTCGCTAAAATCATTTTTGATCACTCACTCCCTCAGGTCTGTAATCAGTCCATGTGTGCAAGTTGCCAGAGCTGCCCACAAGCAAACAACTGTATATATTTTTAAAAATCTAAGATAAATAGGTAATGATTAAAAAAGAATAATTAGATCATTAATTGTGTGGTTAACGGAAATGAACAACCTTTGATAGCATGGTCTCAGTGGGCAAAGACAGAGTTTCTGTTTTCAAATGGCTGCCATGATGAAGCTGCACCTCCTTCTGCAGAAGTTTATCTTCGTTCTCCTTCAACTCTCTTCTTACGAACTAGGTAAGAGACAAAGAAAGGTTGAAAAGACAAATGAAATGAATTGTCTTTAGGGGTCTGGCAGGATAACGTAGCAGCTAAAGTCCTTGCCTTGCATCCGCCTGGATCCCGTATGGTCGTTGGTTCTAATCCCAGCAGCCCCGCTTCCCATCTAGCTCCCTGCTTGTGGCCTGGGAAAGCAGTCGAGGACGGCCCAAGGCCTTAGGACCCTGCACCCGTGTGAGAGACCCAGAAGAGCTCCTGGCTCCTGGCTTCAGACTGGCTCAGCTCCAGCCATTGCAGTCACTTGGGGAGTGAACCACTGATGGAATATCTTCCTCTCTGTCTTTCCTCATCTCTGTATATCCGCTTTTCCAATGAAAACAAATAAATTTTTTTAAAAAAAAGAAATGAATCATCCTTAAAAGCATTTTTAATCCCACAAAATAGCAATCCCATACACATAAAGACACATTTATGCTAAATTCCAATACCCAGTCATGGCAGTACATGGAAATGACAAAATAATTTCATGTCTGATGGAATTTACATTGACACTAAGCTATGAGTGACAGCTGGAAACCCATGCTGGGACTTTCCTATTTCTGCAGTGCAGACAGTCCAGGTAGAAGTATGAAACTGTGACTTCGTTGTTCAAAGCACAGCCTCTTCATGCTCAGCATCTCGGTCACTACCTGCTTCTTACCAATGTTCCAGGTTAACACAACCCCAACCTATTAATCCTGACTATGCCTTGAAGACCAGGAGGAGTTGCAAACAGAGGTTCCAAGTTTCTAGACCTCATCTCAATGAAGTCTCCTAAAGAACAAGCTTTAGGAAAGCTGCGATTCACGGGGATCCCTTACATTGATTGGTTCTTAGGATCCAACACGTTGTTCAGCCTGCCTCTCCCAGTACCTGGAATCCTCCTCTACCTGCCTCCTGCTCCCAGTCAAAGGCTTTTCTGGTGCCTAGGCAAGGGATACCCAAACTTTCCTAGATTGGCAAAGAGGTGCCCTAACTGTGCCCTTGCCTACACACAGTTATTTTTTTTTAATTATGCATTTATTATTTGAAATGCAAAAAAGATAAGCGATAGAGACCTTGCAACCACTGGTTCATTGCCCAGTTGCCTGCAACAGCTAGGTCTGGACAATGCCAACGCCAGAATACCAGAACTTGATCAGGACCTTTCTTGTGAGTAGAAAGGAACCAAGTACTTGGCCCATCACTTGCACTTCCCAGGGTGTGCATTAACAGGAAGCTGAAATTGAACACAGAGCTGGGATCTGAACCCATGCACTCCAATAGACAAGAAGGTGTCCCAGTTAGAAGTCAAGCATGAGTATAATGAGAGTGTGTGTCCATGTAACATGCATGTGAGAAGTCAGGAAAGCAGCAGCAGGTACATCAACGAAATCAGGCTATGTGGACATTTCTGGAACAATGCTATGACAAAATGTCTTGCACTGTGAAGACACCAGGGCTCCTTGGACCTAGAACTCCAGGGCCTCTGATTAAGGGCTAAGTGATAGCAGTGGACCATGAACGGTGTCTGTGGGACATGCACCTACAGAGTAGAAATGAATGCACAGCATGCTCTTCCAGTGGCACCCAGCACAGGCTACTATGGCTTCATTACCCAAGTCATTATTCTTGGTGATGGCGGCTGCCACCCTTGTTCGTGGCCCTTGCTTGGTAAACTGGTATCCAAACTTGAGGATGCTCGAATTCTCCTCCAGCATCTGGGCAATCTCCATCTCCACGGCTGTTCCCAGCTGCTGCCTCTGCCAGCAGGGTGCAGACACAGAGAGGCCCAAGGAGGAAGAGGCAACAGTTACTTGCACAGGAAAGACATTCAGCTACATGTTGGACAAAAGGGCCAAGAGGCCGAAGTCGCAAACTGACACAATACCATCTGATTGCATCACTTGAGACATTTTCTACCATTTGATCATTTGAATCCTGCTCCTTACCTAGAAACTAAACCCAATGCTCAAAAAAACAATTTAAAAAAACCCCAGAATACACTGTTTATGAAGGAAATGGTGATTCTAGAGAAAAAAAGTAAAGCAAAATCATTACTTGGTGTTTCTATTTCACCCAGTATCTGTGGTATAAACAAAGGGTGGGACTGTCTTTGGCAATCAACTCAATGAATCTTCTATTCTGGGATCTATAACCATAAATGAAGATGACCAAGCAATGAGTCATTGTCTCCCAGCGGAGTCTGAATAGGATTCCTTGTGATCCAAAGCATACACATGGTCAGATGAGTTGTCAAACCCTGAAGAGTGTCTTTGGGATGCAGGAAAAAAAAACCCCAAGTTGTTCAAGTGGGTGGAAATGTTGTTGAAGGTGGGACATAGGACAAAGAAAACAAAAAACAGAGTTTTTAAAAAATTAACAGGAGCATGTAAACAGAGGAATTAAAAATCCAATTTAAGGGACATATTTTTTTCATAATATAGTCATCGAACTTTTTCAATAAAAAGCACAGGAGTATTTTTTTAAAAAACAAGCAAACAAAAAAAGGCTATAAAGTCTAAAATTGCCCTCCCTGTAACACTCCCCTATCCCCACAGAGAAACTTAGATGGGCATGTGGTATGCAGCCTTCAAAACATTTTCTACACATTCATATACACAACCATACAATCTTATATAAACAGATCGGACCTGTACAGTGTTCTGAAACATGTCTTACATTTTTCATTTACCACAACAGATACCTATTCACACCAACAAACAGATGTCTGCCTCATCTTTATAAAGAGATGACCAGCACTGCAGGGTAGAGATTTTGACTTTGATGTTTGCTGATTCACCAAGAGATTGTGACAGCTTTCACTTTTGTTAACAGTCTGTTAACTACTTTTTCCTAACTTCATCAATGAAGCACTACCAATCCTGTTCCATCTTTGTCAAGCTAATTGGTGGAAATTCATATTTCATTTGTATTTAATGGCTTTAAATTTGGATTTTTCCAGATTACAAATAACAACAATTAACTTTCTTTTGCATTTGAATTTGAGTCTACCAAATTGTATAATCTGCCCATTTTCTATTACCTAAGAGTATCTAACTGTTTTTTATTTACTGACTAGTTTCTTATCACAAAATTAGCCCATTGTCAAATGTGCTGAAAGCATTGACTTGATCTACCTTCTGATTTTTCTTCCCATTACTATAGATACTTTTAGATTTTCCCCTATGATAAGATGAATTGTTCTTCTGAACAGCAACCCATGTTTAAGAAGCCTGTCCACTTCTAGAGGTTTCATTTATTTCCTGATTTCACATACTTCAATATGTATATTTTCATTTCATCGAAGATGAATTTTTGTGTAAGCAGGAATCTAGAACTTCTAACTTCATTTTGTTCTGAAATGCTAGTAAATTACCCTACTTCTTCTGTGTTCTCCAATTTAAAATGCTCTTCCAGCAAAATTCTCAGGTGTATTCAGGTTTTCTGGGGGACTCTTTCATAGATGTGCCAGTCTATTTTTGGATAGTCTATTTAAGTTTGGAAAGCTTAAGTATGGGGTAGATGAATGAAAACAGTCAATGCAGGAACTTCTGCATGCCAGGGAAGTTTTAAGGTTCAATTCTGCTCTTTCTCTTGTCAAATGAGTCACATGCCAAGAAACGAAAGCAATGTGATACTTCCAGTAGGAAAATAACAAATTGCAGGATCCATAGTGTACAGATTAACATTCAAAGCCATGTGAATCTATGAATGGAGAGAGGCAAGAAGAAAAAACAAAAGTAAACGATAGCTGATCTCAAAGTTCCATGAGCAACTTTAGTTCAAGACACACTTTGGAACAGAGGGACTGTATCAAAGATTAAGCTTTAAGCTATGTTTGTGTCCTTTAAGTGGTTTCATGCGATGCATTTTAGTCCTGAACCTGAGCAACTTGCAGTGTTAATGCAATGATTCAAAGTTATCTTCACACCTACATTCCAAATATAAGTCCTCTTCCAGGTAGCCAGCTATTTTCTTAAGAGTCTAAATCTTGGTCTGTAGCCTCATTGTTGTCTTGTTTTGCAATGAAAATCTAATCAATATTTATTCCTCCTGGACTTGGATGACCTATTTACAAACATGTCAAGTGTAATTTCTTCAGGTGTTCTCTCTGTGTTCCAGTGAATCTACATGACATAAAATCTTCTTTTTATAAGGTTAAGCGTATGACCCAGCCATGTAATCTGGTATAGGAAAAGCAAAGGCAGGAACTCCTGAGAGCCTCCAAGCCTAGGCAAGAGTCCTAAGTGATACTCTGGGACTCTGAAAGATCTTGGAGGGTCTGAACCAGGGTGTTTCTCAGACAGTTCCCAGACTTGCAGGAAGGGTTTTCAAGTCTTCTGCCCTCCCCCCGACCTTGGAAGGGAACGCCCACACCACCAGTCTCCTTGCTCTCTCCTTGATCTAGTTCACCTGGGACCTCCTTCACCCCATGACTAGGCCTTTTGTATTCATTTCCCTGGAGCCAACGAAGTAAGGGATAGCACTGATGTCTAAGAGCCACTGTCCATGGCAGGGGCCAGCTGAGGCACACACAGCAGCTCCAAGGACAGGGCAGGCTGACACTGGATAACACAATGTCCAAAGCTAACAGACACAGACTTGCGTGCTTCGGCAATGATGAGGACCTGAGCCATGCTGGGCAGATCTGAGGGTGTGGTCACACTGAGGATGGGGCCTGATACTCCAAACCATACACACCATCTTCTGTAACCCTTCTTTCAACAGCTCTCTGTGGCAAGTACCAACTGCAGGAGCCCAAGTCAGCTCCTTCAGCTGTGACAGCCCCCAGCCGAGGTTTAGGAGCTGGAGTTTTTTAGCCTGGCAACTCTGCTTTCTCCTCATTCCCGTCCTCATCCCAATGAGAGGCAAAAGCAGAGCCAAGATGGTATGGGGCAGACTCAAGCCAAGAGGCAAGGACAGTGGTGGCCGAATAAAACAGCTATCAAGAAAACTGCCAGCACCTCCTCCTACTCCTTTCTGTTACCTCACTTGCCCTGGGCTGGGGGAGAGTTGTTTTGTTCTATCTCAGGCCACTCTTCTGTCTGATGAGCAATGTGCTCTCCCTACAACACTGCACAGGCCAAAAGCTACTGTAACTCCCTCCCCATGACATCAGCCCCTCTCGCTGGGCACCCTATGGGCCATCCTGGCCCTCCCTTCCTTACCTGGTTATCGATTTTGATCTCTGTCAAAGTGTCATTTTCTCTTAGTGCCTCCACCAGGGCCAGGATCCCAGCTCCAGTGATAAAATTAGATTCTATGTTCAGGCTTTTCAAGGTCTTGTTTACTTTCAGCATATCTGCAAAAGCCTTGGCAAGCAAAAAGAAAGAATTCTGGCATTCCTGACTTACACACTTCACATACCTGCAACAAACATTATCTTAAAAGAGATACTGAAACAAGGTTATCACATCTTTTAAAAACATTTTAGATTTATATTTATGTTATTTGAAAGGTAGATAAATACAGAGGAGAGAAAAATTCCATCTGCAGGTTGACATCCCAAATGTCCATATTAGCTGGGACTGGACCACTGTGAGGTCAGGATCCCAGAAGTCAAGCAGCAGGGATTCGAGAGTTTGAGCCCCGAGTGCTCCTTCCCAGGGTGTGCAGAAGCAAGAATTGGAATAAAAAGTGCAACTGGGATTTACACAGATTCTGATACAGAATTCAAGCATTCTAAGTGGTATCTCTCTTTTTTTTAAAAAAAGATTTACCTACTTTTATTAGAAATTCAGATTTACAGAGAAAAGGGAAGAAAGAAGCCAAGACCTTTTATCCACTGGTTCCCTTCCCAAATGGCTACAACAGCTACAGCTGAGCTAATCTGAAGCCAGGAGCTTCTTCCAGGTCTCCCACATGGGTGCAGGGTCCCAAAGACTCGGGCCATCCTTAACTGCTTTCTCAGGCCACAAGCAGGGAGATGGGTGTAAGTGGAGTAGCTGGGACATGAACCAGCACCCATATGGGATCATGGTACTTACAAGGGGAAGATTAACTAGTTGAGCCATTTGTGCTGGTCCCTCCAAGTGGCATCTTTACCTCTGTCCCAAATGCTTAGTTTGGTTACCATCTTTTAAAAACTGTAGACTTTGGGGGTCAGGCGGCGTGGCCTAGCAGCTAAAGTCCTCGCCTTGAATGCACTGGGATCCCATATGGGCGCTGGTTCTAATCCTGGCAGCCCTGCTTCCCATCCAGCTCCTTGCTTGTGGCCAGGGAAAGCAGCTGAGGACAGCCCAAAGCCTTGGGACCCTGCATCTGCATGGGAAACCTGGAGGAAAGTTCCTGGCTTTGGATTGGTGCAGCTCTGGCCGTGGCGGTCACTTGGGGAATGAACCAGTGGGTGGAGAACCCTTCTCTCTGTCACTCCTCCTCTCTGTATATCTGACCTCCCAATAAAAATAAATAAATCTTAAAAAAAAAAAAAAAAGATGGCAGACTGCAGGGCCCAGTGCAGTGGCCTAGCTGCTAAAGTTCGTGTCTTGAATGTGCGAGGATCCCATATGGGATCCAGATGTGCGTCCAAAGAGGAGTGGTTAAAGAAACTTGGTACATCTACTCCATGGACTATTATTCAGCTATTAAGAATGAAATTATACTATTTACAACTAGGTGGTCCCAACTAGAGACCATTATGCTCAGTGAAATGAGTCAATTACAGAAGAACAAATACCATATGTTCTCTCTTATATAAGGAAACCAGCATGGAAAGTTTAACTTCAATAATCCAATCCATACTGTTTTTCGTTTGTTTGTTTGGCTGTATTGCATGTGTTTTGATGTTTTTTATTTCAGTTTTTTTTGTTTGTTTAAGATTTATTTATTTTTATTGCAAAGTCAGATTTTTTTTTACAGAAAATAAAAGGGACAGAGAGGAAGATCTTCCATCCGATGACTTACTCCCCAAGTGACTGCAAAGGCTGGTGCTGCGCCTATCCAAAGCCAGGAGCCAGGAAGTTCACCAGGTCTTCCATGTGGGTGCAGGATCCCAAGGCCTTGGGCAGTCCTTAACTGCCTTCCCAGGCCACAAGCAGGGAGTTGAATGGGAAGCGGGGCTGCTAGGATTAGAACCTGCGCCCATATGGGAACCTGGCAAGTGAAAGGTGAGGACTTCAGCTGTCAGGCTACCAGGTCAGACTGCATATGACTTCAAGCAGAGTACAAGAGCTACTGTAAAGCTTAAAGTGAAGATACTATTGTATTTGAGGGTAGATAGATAGTAGGCAATTAGGATCTGTATGTCTGGTGAGATAACCTTTCAGAACAGGGCTTCCTCCTATCCCATATCCTCCCTAAAGCACATCCTCCCTCTGGGGAGAGAACAAAGGCACAGAATCAACACATCAATCTCAGAGCAAGCAAACTGACCCACTTTGGTCACTGGCAAAGGAATGGTGCCTCAGTTTATCTTCAAGATGGTGGAAGGAAGCTACTGGTCTCACCTTTTGCCTCTGGGCAAGGTGGTAGAAATTAGGACACCATTTACACCAATTCCTTGGGTCTCTCCTACCTTGGAGTCCCCTCTTGTCACTAAGACAGGAGCTCTCTTTCTTCCTCTCCTAAATAAATCATACTTTGCAAACTAGAGCTTATTCGCATGAAAATTCTTTCACGTGAGACAAAAAACAAGGGTGCTGCCGTGTGCGTGTAGAATACCCTACTACAGTCTCCCTACAACACTATGAAATAATTTGTTCTATATTTCAAAATAGCTAGAAGACTCTGAATATTCCCAATTCAGAGAAATGATAGATGTTCACATTGATAGATATGTTAATTACCCCAACCTGATGATTAGACATTGAATACATGTATCAAAACATCACACTGTGGGCCCAGCCTGGTGGCCTAGCGGCTAAAGTCCTCGCCTTGAACACGCCAGAATCCCATAAAGGTGTTGTTTCTAATCCCGGCAACTCCACTTCCCATCCAGCTCCCTGCTTGTGGCCTGGGAAAGCAGTCTAGGACGGCCCAAAGCCTTGGGACCCTGCACCAACACAGGAGACCTGGAGGAAGTTCCTGGCTCCTGGCTTTGGATTGACACAGCACTGGCTGTTGTGGTCACTTGGGGAGTGAGGCATTGAAAAGAAGATCTTCCTCTCTGTCTCTCCTCCTCTCTGTATATCTTACTTTGTGATAGTAATAAAAATAAATCTTAGAAAGAGCACACTGCAGCTATAAGTATATACCATTATGGTGTATTAATGTAAAAATTTTAAAGGCTATGATCTTGGGGCATGGCTGACATAGAGAAAACAGACAAACTAGCAGAAAAATTAACACCAAAAGAAGCTGTTGCCTGAAACGTTAGAGGTAAGTCCCATTTGGGGCATCTCATCAACCAGCTGGTACAGCTGGAGCAGATGCAGAATGCATCATCCTTTCCTGTGGCACGAGTATCAATGACAAACTCTCCAGAAGGGACTCCAGTGATTACAAGGGACTTCCTGCCTGCCGACTCCTCACCCACAACACAGACTCAAGGCACCTATCTGCTGAAAACAGCACTCATAGGTTCTTTGACAAAGGGTTGAGGGTTCTACCCAACCCCAGCAGCAGAGGAGACATAACTTCCTGCCCTCAGGGAGCTGACAGGTCTGCAGGAGAGCACATAGCTCGCCAGGGAGCAACTGGCAGGGACAGATAAAGAGGCCTCTCTTCCACTGGCAAAATAGATGGAAGCAATTGCCGAAGTCAACCCAGGTCATACACACCAGCCCACTGTCCACTCACGCATGTGAATGGGCAGCCAATAACTGCCAGACATATTAGAAAAACCAGTGTCACACTGTCAGCAGAAACCAGGCTAACAGCATCCACAATGATCCAGGACAGCATCCCATGAAATAAACGAGACAAATGCAAACATTTTAGTTATTATTTCCCCACTCCTCCCAGCAAGAAAAGAAAAAGTGGCACTGTAACCAGAAATAAGCACTGGTTGCTTTTTGTATCATTTTTTAAGGAGAAACAAGAAATCCTTTTTTTTTTTTTCCAATAAAAAATACTACACTGGGCCTGGTGCGGTGGCGTAGTGGTTAAAGTCCTCGCCTTGCACGCCCCGGGATCCCATATGGGCGCCGGTTCTAATCCCAGCAGCCCCGCTTCCCTTCCAGCCCCCTGCCTGTGGCCTGGGAAAGCAGTCAAGGACAGCCCAAAGCTTTGGGACCCTGCACCCTCGTGGGAGACCCAGAAGAGGCTCCTGGCTTTGGATAGGCATAGTATCGGCCCGTTGCGCTCACTTGGGGAGTGAATCATCGGACGAAAGATCTTCCTCTCTGTCTCTCCTCTCTGTATATCCGCCTTTTCAATAAAAAAAATAATAAAAATAAATCTTTAAAAAAAATACTACACTGATATAAAGAGCATAGACATTCAGAATTACAGCCTGAGTACGGCTGAAGATCATGTCACTGAGCTAGACCCTAAGGCTGAGGATGCTCCTAAGGATGAACAAAACAAAAACAGAGAGACAGAAAACATGAGGGAAATGTTGAGAGATACAAAGGATAGATGCCAAGATTCAACACTTACAACAGGAGTTCCAGCAGCACACATGCAAAACAGAAGGGAATTACAACAAGCAATGACCAGGGAAAAAATCCCCCAAGGTAAACAAAGTTATCAATAGTTTCCTGAAGGAAATGACAAAGTGCTCAACAGAATCAATCAATAATAATAAAAATAAAAGACTCCTAAGTGGACATACAAATGACAATTTCAGCGATACCAGGGGAAAGCGTTCTAAAGTCTGTAACAACAGCAACAAACCAGCATCGGTCACAAGACAGAAAAGGCCCACAAAACGGGTCACAAAGTAGGAAACTCTGACGATGGCTCTTCGATGACTGTAATCAGTGAAGTTTATAAAGTTCACACATGAAAATGATTTTTTAAAAAGTGGTGGAAGAGAAAAAAGGGCTGGAAAACAAGGGTACAAATTGCCCTCATTTTTCAGAATAAAGAATCAAAAATTGCCTAAGATAAAAAAAAAAAAAAAATCAAGTGGCCTAGAGGCTAAAGTCCTCGCCTTGCATGTGCTGGAATCCCATGTGGGCACCGGTTCTAATCCCGGCAGCCCCACTTCCCATCCAGCTCCCTGCTTGTGGCCTGGGAAAGCAGTCGAGGATGGTCCAAAGCCTTGGGACCCTGCATCTGCGTGGGAGACCTGGAGGAAGTTCCTGGGTCTGGCTTCAGACTGGCACAGGTCTGGCTGTTGGGGTCACTTGGGGAATGAACCAGTAGATGGACATCTTTCCTGTCTGTCACTCCTCCTCTCTGTATATCTGACTTTCCAATAAAAATAAAT